CGTCAGAGAACAGCTCCCTTAAATAACACTAACTATGCTGAAGCATAACAAGCCGATGCCTAGACCTAAAAGTAGCTTTTGGACAGCTGTTTTCATAAGTTCAAAACGTCCTTAAATGGGCTAGAAATCCCAAATTCGACCCCTTTCCCGGATTAGGTCTCGTCAGCTACGCAACGTTGTAAAATACGTAGTGTAGCGTCATCCCAAAATGTCCAATTATCGGTATCGAAACAGACTAGGTGAAGAGACTAGGTGATCGCTGAAGACTAAGTCCAAACGGTTGTTGATTTAAAACTGAAAAGCAGCTTAATTTATTTACGACGAAAATATAGCCTATGTGACCTAAGAGTAACCCAGATTCACATCAGCTTATGGCCCAAACAAAAAGCTAAGCGGCTGACCTTGTCAATAGGAATTAGCTACCCCGGAAAAAACACCCATTCGCCGCCCGTAAAACCGGTAAAGGGCACGATTTAGGATCTCTTACTTGCCGCGTTGGCATCTTGACTTTTCAGCAAACAGCTTGTCGGTCCAGGTAAACAATAAGGATTATCTCCACCTACCGTACCCGTCGCCCTATCCAAGGTTCTCGCTAATTTTTGAACCCCTAGCCCGCACTTATCCTCCTTTAGGGGTCACCAGGTTTTGATCAAAAATCTCGTGATTTCCTCACTCGTCATTTGATTTGGTTTGGGGTTTCCCGGATCTGGTCAGTTGGATCTAATTTCGATGCATCAGCACGAAGAGCTCAGTGACCCGAAATTTGAGCCCGATTTTTGGCGGTTGAATCGGGTTGGTGGGTGGTTGATGGCATCTATTTGGAAATTTGATATTTAGGTCGTTACTTTTAGCGTATTTAAGAAATTATTAGCGTAGCGAAAACGTGAGATCTTAAAAGTTAGGCCGTGAGATCTGTGTATACCTATTTATTGCATGCATTCTCTATTTCTCTACCACTCAATGGCTCTCTTTCTCTCTCTCGCTCTCACTCTCTCTCTCTTTCTCACTTGCTATTTCTCTCTCACTCTTGAATTCTAACTACCCGGGTCCTTTAAAACGATATATCTCATGTTTTCGTAGATCTGCTATTTGCACCAGGGGCATTCTACCACCGGCTGGTACGGGCATGCGAGCGGGGTGCGCTTGCTGGCCGCCTCAGCCACCCAGACGATACCTCCCCCTCCCCTGGCCGATGGCCAACAATTGATAAGCGCTGGCCATCGTGACCGACGATCGCCGCCGTGAGGTGAAGGTCTTTGAGGTCTAGTCAACGTCTGGCGGCTGTAGCCATTTTCAGTCCCGCAGACGCGTCACTACCATTGGCGAACTGGTGCTCCCACCACTGTCAACCACCAATCACAGGTCACGCCACAAAGCGATCGACCCGCTGGTGCTCAAGGTCGGGCTCAGGGTGCTGGGGAATTTCGGAAGTGCGGCCTGACGTTCCAGTGCGAAAGACGCGCCTGGGAGCTTCATATAGTTATTTCCTGTTTGGGAATTGACCCCTGTTAGTTTGCCACGAGAATTCGGACGGTCGAGAGGTGTCCCCGTCCCTTTAATACGCGTTACAAATCGGCTCTCAGCCGCTTGCTCGATTTGGTTGCCACCATTGGTCGCTGCTAGCTTGCCCTGAGGCGCTAATACGTTCGAGCCGCCACTAGCTTTTTAAAACTGATACCACTTCGATTTATGGATTTCTTGGAAAGAACTAATTTTTTTTCGACTCCTAAATCCTCGCTGCCATTTTTTGGAGTTACAGGCCCCTTAAAACGCGTCGACGGAGCCTTCGGAGTATAACTGAGGATCTTCATAGCTAAAGCTTTTGTTGATGCTCTATAAGCCTGATATCACTCTCCCTTTAAAAAGCATACCTTGTACCGGCTTCTATGACTTCTGACCCCAACGCGTTGGACTCTGTGCTCCCGCTAATCCACGTCCAAATTTAAGGGGGTGTGGCCAGCCCCAAACACCACGCACTTCCTCTCCCCTTTTCGGCATCCAAAAGTGCACGGAATAGGAAGCAGCAAAAGGGAGGCGGGGCCTCGCGCCGTGAGCCAGGAGAGAGAGGGCACAGAATTCGCGCTCTGCTCCCCCAGCAGGGCTCCGCTCACTAGCCGGCTCCCCGCACAAACGGATCCTTGGTCATTGGTCTGGATTCTTATCGGTGGGGGAGCGCGGTCTCTCTCACTCGCCCTCTCCGCTCTCTCTCTCCCTCGCCGGCGCTCGGCTCGCGCTTCACCGCCAAAGTTCAGCCCCCCATCCTGGGCTCCGCCCACCCACCCATTCCAACACGCAAACAGCCAGTCAGACCCTGCTCCCTCTCTGTGCTCAGTTTCCGATCACCGGTCCCCCGCGATCCGAGCCGCGGTGGGGAGGGTAGACAGATGTATTAGCCTGACAAACACCAACGCCTGCCTTGTCAGGCGATTCGTCATATATTTTTGGCTGACGACTGACTGAATCAGGAGGATATTACCACTTCTTCTACCTACCTAACGTTAATTCTGATTTTTCCCAATATTCCTCATCTATTTCAGCAAGCTACAAGTCCGTCTTTATCCTGATCCGGGCTTGATCTGGCGCTTTCCGGATGAAATCCGGCTGAAAACCGACCGATTCCAAATTTTTTCCGGAGACAACCGGAGATTTCTACATTGCTATATCTTGCTCTGTTCATAATCCTAGGCTTGTATGATATGAATCTGGAAAATTTCAGCGTATGGCTCGTTTCGGAACTTTGCCGTTCAGTTGCGGTCAATTCCGAAATTTTTTAGCTTCCGCCACGTTTCCTAATCAACTTATTGATGCCGAAATTGACGATTGAGTCCGGTCAAAAACCCAATAACCTTGCTTGAATGCCCCATCTTGACCGATCGAGATCGGCACCAGATTTTCCGTAGATCCAAAACCCAATCCGATCATCATCCGCCGCCCAGATATCACTTTTCTCTTGCTTCGTCATCATTCTCCTCCACCCCGGCCCTCCTCCATTCTTGACTCATCTCGATTGTTCTTCCCCTTGGCTATCTACACCCCCACGCATTCTTTGCGCTTGCACGACTCGATGACTAACCCCCTCCTTTTCAACGGGAACAAACTTGAATCACTTTTTCTGAGCATTTCCCAGCTGACTAAAACGATTCGGCAACTGCTGCCATCCGAAAAACGGCTCACTTTGCTGCGCCGCAATTTCGTATCTGCTACCATATTTCGAGGCTATTTTCACAGTACTCATGAGTTTTTAGTCATCGTATTTTCTACTTTTGTCGAATCATCAAGCCGTTTTGTTGCTTTTCTCGTGGTGATTCGACGATTGGTCATTTTAGAAAGCGTCTGTCATTCGGGCTTTTACTTTTGGGATGCCAGCTTTTGCCTAGGCATGCTATCCTCGCCGCATGCTATGTCTAACTATTGGTGTATTTTCTGACGTATCCCACGCATTTGAAAAGATCCACAACCATTTCCTTGTCTGTACCTTGAAAAGCTCAGATCGCATTCTCCTTTTTATCCTATTCACGCTCCCGTATAGTACCAAGATCTCATTATCCTTTCTGAGACACCAGACGCGTACCGCCCCCCCCCCACGGCGGCGCCACAAACTCCAAAAATCCAATTGAGAAGGAGGCGTGGCCTCTCAGGCCGAAAGACCACGGGATCACCACCTCGCTGGCTAATATTGGCCAACGTTTCCGCGCCCCATTCCGGCACCTTGCTCTCGGCTTATCAGACCTGATACGGTCCTGAAAACAGGGCAGACACCGGAATTTCGTCATAGCGATTCCGGCGCAGAGCCTCGAGTTACTCTCCGCCCTCACCCGGCCCTCGATTCCTTTGTTTGTCGGCTGCAAATATTTTGCAGTCACCCCCGGGGCTGAGGTCTGACAGACGTTTTTCGAAATGATTCGACCGAGCTTGAGGGCGTGGCATGCTAGCAGAGGTTTTTGGGGATCGGGGAATTGGGAAATTGTTCGCAATTTTACCCACCCTTCCATTCAAAGTCATCTAGCAGCGACTCTGTGTGGAATTCCAGGATACGTAAAGCTGACAAGCGTTCATTAGGAATGGTTGAAGTTCAACCCCGTCGCAGCCGTTTTTCGAAATCTTTCCCCCTCCCGACTCATGCCCGACGGCTTACACTTTCGTATACTTATGCAAGAATACCCAACGACTTGCTTTCGCCGCCCCGTATCTACCCAAATATTTGCTGCAGCCCTTGGCCGGGCCCAATGAATCAGCAGGAAAACTGGTCCCGACAAGGCCGTGAATCAGCGATCATGATCGGTGCTGGGTTGCTCATTTTCGGAAATGGCGAGAGGCTTCTGGGTGCTTCATTACTGTCGTTTTCGTTTGATCTCTCTCTCTCCCTCTCTCTCTCTCTCGCTTTATCTCGCGCTCTCTCCCTCTCCATATCTATCCTTAAACTATGCTCCAGCTACAGTAATCCAAACATCCTGGATCTATATGGCAACGCCTACTTCCCCTAAGCCAAGCAGATACCGTACCCTCACTTCCATCCCATTCAGCCGCCCTTTTGGCCTGCGCACCATGTCGGATTAAACTCAGCGCCCTCTTCCAGTTTTTGCTCAAAATCACATCCGCACTTGAGCGGCGAGTACAAATTCCCCCTCCGGATGGGATTTGGGCTTTTTTTGAGGGGAATTTGATCTCTACTTTTATTTGTGATAGACTGCCCGGATTAGTAATGGGATTTTGTGGGTTTTGGTGCGTTTTCGGTTTTTGGGTTTTACGAATTCCTCATGGATTTCAGGTTTCTCCAAAAACTGCCCTAAAATTTTCCATCTGAATTCCTAAGTTTTTACGGGAAGTTAACCTTGTAGAACGCGTAATTTCTGAATCTCTTAATAACGTTCGCTATTTATACGTTTTCCAACGCTGTCTTGCCTTCCAGCGGCCTTTAAACTTTTCTTAAACCCGCTTTTCCAGATACAAAAAACCCCTTCACAACCGCCAAAATTACGGTAAACGACCAGCTACTCGCGATGATGAGCGACGGGCAGGCCCACGCCGCGCTGGCCTTTTTGATGGCCGGCGTCAACGGGCAGCCGGCGTACAACATTGACCACTTGATACGGTGGGTGGCTTTCTGAAAGCTTTACGACTTACATACTCAGATACAAGGAAGTATAACCTAATCAAATATTTTTGCTTTTAGGAACGTCGGCAACTTGAATAACATCCCCGGCCTCACCCAAACCGGCATGGGATCTGCGGCCGAGTCGAATTCCACAACCCCCGATGCCCCCAACCAGGCCCAGAATTCCACACCGGAAGAGGCGTCAATTTGGTGAGTCTTATAAATTTTATTTTCATTAATTGGAGTGGCGAACACTGTAATGTAATGTAATAAAATACTCTTTCCTTACTCGACCTTTCTCATTTTTCTTACGCAAGTATACGTTTTGTCCCTTGTTCTTTTCGCGCTGATCTTTGCTGCCTATATTGTACATAGTCCAGATCACAACCGCTTCCACTAAAAGTTTATGACTGTTTTCGGCACGTATCGCTTGGAAAATCATTAATTCCATGCTGAACTCTGATGCGGGGTTTTTGAGCGCTTTTACCAGCCAGCATTGGACTGTATTTTTGCGTCCTTTCGGGTCTAGATTACAGGAAATTGAATAAAAAGTCTTTTACCAAATCCTAGACTCAATTAAACCATGATAAAACCAAATGGCAGCCAGTGAAAAAGCCCAGACATTCGCCAGCCTCTGATCTCCGCGTCGAGCCTTCGTTTTTCTCATGTCCGAGTCATCCGCCGCCCCTTATTAATTCTTCTTTTTCGCCTTCGCCTATTGTTCGCTCGTTGTTGGTACATTGGCCTTTAGTACATTCCCCCTCGAGAGCGAGCACATTCCGGCAATGTACCAGGCACAAGGCCGCCGATCCTTGGACCACCCGTAAGGTGTCCATGCGCGGAAGACCTTATTGACTTTGCTTGATTTTTTGTCGTCGGCCCGGGTTTGGTGAATTGACTTTTTTATGGTTTTGGGACGACTGACGTGACCTAAAAGTTAGATAGGAAAATAAAATTTTTTAGCCGTAGTTCAAAAAGTTATTTTTCATCATTTTTAAGTGTTTTTCTAGCTTTTTTTAGGGGGCGAAATCGAATGCTTTCCGTATCTTACCTTCCTAGACGACCGTATTCATCTTGACATTTTAGTACCGTATTCATCTCGTTTTTTTTGTGGCCGCGTCATACTTGCCAATTTTTCGCCCTCAGTTTTAATCCATGTACCATCTACCGTAAACCTTCCGTTGCCCGGCTCCGTGGTCTCTACGTCTTTTAATCTGTCCCTGACCTGCAGACAAATTCTTCCCCAACTCTACTATAATCCAAAGACTGGGGTCTGGTGAACAAAATCTATTTCGCGCCCTCGATCTGGATACGGTAACCCAGCATCCTGGCGCGGCTTGGAGACGTGCCAACCCTGCCAAGCAGCCCACCCAAAAACAAGGGCTTATGCCCGGCTTATCGCCTTAGGCGCCAGATCAAAATATGCCCTTTGGCCTCGTGATCTCTGGCTGGCTGACTAGATGGTGCTGGTGGGGGTAATTTGAGAATTGGCGCGTCACGGGGTGGTTTTAGTTCGGAAATTCGAGATGATTGTCGCGGGTTTGGGGTCGTGTTTTAGTGGCGTAGGCGTGGAAAAATTTGCGATCGAACCTTGCGAAATGTTGCTTAGCTTAGCTTATGCTTAAGCTTAGGCGAGGAATTGGCTTAAGAAAGCTTTGGAACGCTTTGGAATTTAGCTTTGGTCTGACATAGACTTGGCTTTGAATCAAGCTTAAGCTTATGCTTGGTTTGGAGGCTCAGCTTCAAGACTTAGCAGCTTCAAATGGCTACTACATTAGGTTAGTTGGACGTGATTATTCGTCGGCATCTCCTTGAATTGCATGTTTTGGACGCAAAACACCGAAAAATCAGCCAAAACATTTTCAAACAACCAGATCCCCAGAATTCCTTTAATAACCTTTGTTCTCGCCACTATTTCAAGTCCCACCGACAGTAACCCAGAACGCTCATTTTTTTGTTGTTTTCCACCCCTGTGCAAGGACAAGCCCGTCGTGTTTTTTCAACCTCCATGGACCGCTCCTCACCATCCTAAAAGTGTTGATCCAAACTGGGACCCCCCGGCCGGCCAGCCGAGGACGAGCTTTTTTTTCGGGTCGCCCGTTCTCTGGTCTGCTAGCGGCCCTAAGGCGAAGAGGGGCCCAAAGGGTCCAAAGAGGAGACCCAAGGCAAGAGAGCCCAAAAAGTGGCATGCAGAGACTGCAAGTGAGCAATGGGGGTCTCGGCGAGGAGCACCCGGGTGGCCGACTAGTCGAAGGGGTCAATGGTCGAAGACCAATGGCTGTTTTTTCGCCTCTCGGCGCTGCCGAACGTTCAGCGGGTCCTGCCACGAATTCAGGGGCGGCAAAAAATAGAACGCCCGCGATTTGGGAGTGGACGCGTATGAATGGGGGAGCGGATGAGCTTTAGGCGATCGGACTACAGTAGCAAGAGCAAGAGGTCGAAAACGTATCCAGACGTTAGGCTACTCCTTTCAAATGCAATATTGTCATTAATAACTAATTTCCATCCAGATTCAGATGAAAATAGGTATTGTGAAATGGTGCAGAAATAGCTTCACGATACTAAAGGTCTTAAAGTAATTAAAGTTCAGCTACTTTTTCCTCCTGCGATCGACGAGTTAGATTTGTTAGAAATCAAGAACGTGTAAGAACTACCATATTTTATCCAAGTTTTTCAGCTCGGTCTGCAAAGATGAGGCATCCGGACGACACTACGGCGTCGTCGCCTGCTTCGGATGCAAGGGATTTTTCCGGAGAACCGTCCGAGCAGGCAAAGCCTACGTCTGCCGATACGAGCAAAAGTGCAGGATTGACAAAGGTTGGTAAAACCAGAAAAGCTATCTTCTCACTTCTAAAAATTTCCCCCTATAACCAAATCTAAATTTTTCAAATCTTTGGTCGCTCCGACCCAAGGATTTTCCCCTTTCAAAAAACAGGCTTCCGTGCCAAGCAAACCCCGGCACTAAATTCGTTGCACTTTAGCGCCTGACCGAAAAGCTACCGTAACCCCCCGGCTGACCAGAGACTTTTGACCGTAATCCGGATCTCGGATATCCCGTCGCCTCTTTTTTGAGAGTTGAAACGGATTAGTCGAACCGAAGATTCCCTATTTCAGCCGGCCGAAACGTGTGCCGATCCTGTCGATTCCAGAAGTGCCTTGAAGTTGGAATGGAGCCTGATGGTCAGTTTTTTTCCGATTACGGTAGAATTCCCATCTTTTAGCCATCCGTCCCGACCGGGATAAGACTGGGCGCCAAAAGAACCCACGCCGGACAACCGCCCAGACACCGATGCTGAGCGGCAACGTCAAGCAGGTCAACCAGATCGACAACGATGCAGAAGGTGCGGTTTTTTGAGAGCAATAAATTGAATGGCACATTTGTTTTAATAGAGTCTTTCAAGCATAAAATTTAAAAGCTGGATTGTTTCGGTATGTAAGTAATATTGATTTTTAGAAGACGGCCGAAGCACAGCCACAAGCAGAACAGATTCAACGCCAACGCCCGAAGCCAGCATCCTCGTCACCCTTGCCGAAGTCGAGCAGCTTTGCTTGAGCCTTCGCGACGTCATCCCGGCCACGCCGCCCTTGATTGCCACCTCGGTGTACGACTGCATCCACAAGCCGTCATTGGTGTCGCCCCGGACCAAGGTACGGTAGTTTGGGTGCATTATAAAGGACTTCATCAGCTTTCCAGAAAAAGCGCATTTTCAGCCTAACTATTTTCTATCAAAGCGGATCGGTGCAAAATTTCGGGAGAATCCAGCCTAGATTCGTACCAAACTTGCCTAAAATTTTAACTGGGTTTGGGCGCAAATTAGCCAAGTTATGCTAATTTTTCAGTCCTCATTCTTGCGACCAGACTTCAATGCACATTTAAATAAGTTCAACAAGTGTCCTACTCAAATGTCGCCTGCTCACGAGCGCCTTGTTTTGCTTCCGCGGCACCGCCCCAAAATCCCGACTCATCCGTTTTGATCCCAAAATATGTTTTAAGGGTGCTTTGGGCGCCTCCCCCTCCCCTCTACCCCCAGGCTAAACCACGCCCCTTCTAGGGGTACGGTAGTCGAGTCGCGCCCTTCAGAAGTGTCAACTGTATCAAAGTGGAACCATTTTCAGCCCGACTACACCGGCTCGGATGGCATGGTGGACTACCTGAAGTTTGCGCTGAACATCAGGAGGCTGCTGGTCGGCGTCTTGGACTACATGAACACGCTGAAGCCGATCGCTGATTTGGCGGATAAGGAGCGGGTGAGCGCTAGATTAATTTCCTAAGAAAGCTCGGCTAGCTTGCCTAATGTTCGAAAAACACTAAAAAAATTAAATTCCGAAAAGAATGTCTCAAAACTGTTTTAAAATGTATCTCTTTTTTAGGTGACCATCATCCAAAACTGCGCCCCGGCCTACATGCTCCTGAACTTGTTGCACAACACCGTCCACGCCAACCCCAACAACAACGCAATTCTCTTTCCAAACGGCCAGTACATGGCTGATTTTGGTGACGTCAAAGACGAGCCGGACTTTGGAGATGAGAATCGGGACCCGGCCAAGGAGTGAGTTCTTGAGTTATATGGGTTTTAGGGATTTCGAAACTAAATAACTAATTTTAGAGGTCTTAAAGGCACTTGAAGACAAAATTTATGGATCCTTTTCAGAGAGCACGGTCGCTTGAGAAGGCTGCTGATCCGCGACATTTTGCCCGCCTTCCGGGATCTTGAACTTGACGAGCATGAGTATGTGGCGATGAAGGCTGCCCTGGCCCTCGACCCAAACACCGCGCATCTTTGCCCAGAATCGAGGAGATTGCTGTCTGTAGCAAGGTTGGTTTTTAGGAAATTGGCTGAACTCCTTGAGGACGCGGAAATGCCTAGGGGCCAGTTAGAGAGAGAGAGAGAGAGAGAGAGAGAGAGAGAGAACTAAACAGTCCTGGACTTAAAATTCAAATAATTACCCCAAATGTTCCAGAGACTCCGTCCAATCCTCCCTCTACCAATACATGTCCGGCCGAGGGCCCGCCGAAGCCATCGCACGCTACGGCAGAATCCTAATGATGGGCGCCACACTCTCGAAAATCGGCGAGGAGGTCCGACGCTGTATTCAGGACTTCAAATGCCCCGAGATCAGCGAGGATTTCTTCCTCCGGGAATTGTTGTTTAACCGGAATTAAATGCGATTTATGTCCTTGTTAATCGCAATTATTTAAAGGTATCGTATCCTTAATCGTATCCATAATGGTATCTACATTTCATACCTGGTTGTACCTAGTCATTAAATTTCTATATCCGCTATACCCAAGCTTTCCGACCCTGTTGCTCCTCAGCCCGCTGGCTTTGACGAGTGTACTTTGTAGCCCCCAGCGTACTGTAGCGTACCCTATTATTGCTATACCTTTGCTCCTAGTCCCTGGCCCGAGTGCAGATTTTTATCCCCCTTTGACCCGCTCTCCGTTGGTGACAAAATGTGATGTGTACCACTACGATTTCGGTTTATTTTTGGTTTACCTTGATTTTTTCTTATTTCCCCCACTCTGCAAGCTAACCCGCATTATTTAGTGATCTCCACCGGTTCGTAGAAATTGACTAGAATTTTTTAAGGTATGTTATTGGGCTTAAGATTTGGTCAAAATCGAGATTTCTACTACGAAAAGTCGTCGAAAATCGCTTGTTTTCGAGGATTTCGATAGTTTTCAGACAATTATTAACCTAATCGATTCCTGACCAATTCCGACCTTCCCCTCAAATTTGACATTTCAAAATCACCTCCTCCTCTCACAATGTGACCATATATGACTTTTAATACGTAACATACTTCTCTCCAGCCGTCCCGGGTCACCGAAAGAATGAATATTCACGCGCTTTGCCAGAATGCTTTCTTGTTTGTAGGGTTATACACCCGATGTACAGTTTAAATTGAAGTACCCCTCGATTATACCTATCCAAAGACCCCTACCCACCGACTTCCTTATCTTGGCAGGGCTTGTCTTGATTTGATAATTTTGTATTTTGCGATCAAAAGTTTTCCCTTGGATATCTGGCTTTGATGATGATGGATGTGAAACCGTGATATTGCTCGTGTAAAGAATAAAGTGTGATGAAACTAAAAATTGTTTCTTGGAATACACCGAATCGCATCTGCACAGTACATTAAAGGGAGAGTGACAGCAAAGAAATATTCTGAAGAGGCGGCGGGAAGCGGGCAATAGGAATAGTGAGCAACCGAAAGACAGAGAACGATAGCGAGCGAGAGAAAGAGCGAGAGAGAGAAAGAGAGAGAGAAAGAGAGAGAGAGAGAGAGAGAGAGAGAGAGAGAGAAAGCGAGAGAGAGCGAGAGAAGTGGAGAGAATAATGAGGTAGAGAGGCATAGCTAAAGATACACACCTAAAGTTAAATCAAGCAGGCGAGAGACTTATGGAGGCCCCGATGGACGGATAGAGTGAGAGACAGAAAGCTAGAGCGGGATGGAGAGCCAGAAAGAGCGGGAAATAGAGAGCGCGCGAGAGAGAGAGAGAGAGAGAGAGGGAGAGCGGACGAATGAGCGGAGACGAGATCCATTTGAAGTTGTTGATATTTTCCAGACTTCCACACCGCTCTTTGCCAAGAAAACGGAGCTTCGACTCCCACACGTGGCCTGAACACACAGGTCAAAAAGGATCAGAACACAGTTTTTACGCCGATTTTTGGCGCTTAAAAACGGTCACCCCTGTGGATTTCACATTCCGGAATGGAACGCAGACAGAGCAGGCCACGACTGGTATTGGCATAGCTGAATTCCAGCCGCCGATCACCGGTGTATTTTCCCCTGAAGCTCAAATGGAATTCCCCGTCGCCGACCTGATAGTTACTGAAAAGCTGTCTGGGTATTTTGTGGCTTGGCAAAGAGCGGAAATCGTGTAGATCCATTGCATAATGCTTTACAGAGCCCACGTATCAGATTTCGGCTTGAGGCGATACCTCGACGCCCACCCAAAATTCCCTTTCCGCCAAAAAACGACGGCTGGCTTTCGCTTTTGGCGGATCTAGCCCAAAAACGAGCCGAACCCGTGCGGATAGGCCGAGATATGCGCCCGGCTCGCGGGACAAGCTGGTTTTTTTATGCCGACGGGCGGGATCTTGGGGATCCGACTGGATCGAGTTGATCACATTTCCATTTCTTGCCGCAGATTTCTCCTTCTGTTCTGGCAGCATTATAATTTTTGAAGCGTGAAGCTCTTGGCGTTAATTTTTTCTTTTTAAATGGTTATTGAAACACAAAACTACAACTTCTAGAAAGACCCCGTCGGCCGTACCATGTTGCAACGAATTTTTCTGATTACACTTGGTAAGTATAGAGTATTAATTAATCCTTGTGTCCATCAACATGGTATAAAAATGCATAGTTTGTAAGTTTGTTTTATTTACCTTCCGTTATTTTAAAATATTATAAAAATACGGTTTGCCCGCCGCTTGCGTCTTTCGGTAAAGAATTGTGGGCCAGAATTCGGTAAGCCATCTTTTGCATCCAACACCGACGGATCCAAAAATTTAATCCGATGATCTGAACAGATTATTTGTATGGTAACCGTATCCGGTAAAGAGGCTTGATAATACCAAGCACCCAGATCCCGGTCACCGTGGGATTACCGTATAATTCCCCGTACGGTGTACCGAAAATTCAGGGGCCGTGCCCCGGAGGAGATAGTTAGAAAACAGACTAAATCACGTTTAAAAATTGCGATTCTAAAATTCAAAATTTTGCTTCAGCCTTGGCTTGCCTGGCCGACGGCTTCATCCTACGCCAGAAACGTCAGACGATGGAATACCCTGAGGAGTTGAAGCAGTACGCCCTTCCGCACGCTGGTACCAGGATCATGGTCGGATACGCAAATCGATATGCGCCACAGGATTATCCAAAATGGTAGGGTTTATTAGTAATGTAATTCACTGTCCGAATAGCTACAACCTGACCGCTCTCTCTCTCTCTCGCTCTCTCTCTCTCTCTCTCTCTCTTACCTAATATAGCGATACGCCCCATATCTTAAACGATACGCGACGCACCATTGGCGCAACTTCGTCATTCAGCGATTAAAATTTTAAAATTTCATTTAAAAAATTATAACCTGATTATAAAGTAGCTGTGACAAATATAATCTAACTCTATGATCACTTTAAATCCGGTTTTTCAGGTACTCCCGTACGATGATGAAGTGGGGCGGAGAAAGCCGCATGTCCCCCTACGAGCGAAGTGACCCCCATTTCCAGCAATTCATGATGGACAGCTTCCGGCAATAACCACAAACCCCCGATCTCTGTCTTGTACATAACGTGCTTCATGTAGAATAAGCCACTTTCAACAACTTGTTCACCCTCGGTGCCGGATTGTGAGCGGCTTACACGGATTATTAAGAACTTGTTTTGTAAGCGCAAGCGGTTTATTGAACGTTTTCCTAGTCAGTTTTTGTAGCCATTACTTCGGGATTCAGCGGCGCGTCCCAGATGATGGTTTGGAATTCGCGGGGGCCGATTTGGAGGTTCAGGAACTTGCCTGAAATCGTTAAATATGAAGGGAAGATGCTGGCAAGCGAAGCTTCGGTTTGGGCTTAAGCTTTAGGCTTGGGGTTAGGCTTGAGTTAACGTTAGGCGTAGCTTAGACTTGGGCTAGGCATAGGCATAGGCTTAGGCTTAGCCTTAGGCTTAGGCTTAGGGCTTAGGCTTAGGTTTAGGCCTAGGCTTAGGCTTGTGCTTAGGCATAAGCTCAGGCTTCGGTTTTTGTAAATTCATCCACAAAAAAGCGTTTTGGTTCATAACTCTTTACGTCAAAAGTCGTATTGCGTACTCCACTACCCACCTGGCCGCTCCGTGTCCACAATCGTCACATTCTCAATCCAGCTTAGCCCGCTGTTCAACAAAATCATCACCCGTTGCCCGGACTGGTTGATCGCGGCCGTCGACTCGATCTGGAAAGGCTGATCCAAAAGCCGTGCTTAAATGAAATACCTCGACCAGATCGTCATTGTCGGAGAGCCGGATTTTTATAGCGCCAGGCCGAATGAACTTGCTGAAAATGACGTCATCACTAATGTAAGCCGGTCAAAAAAAGCAATGGTCTTCTCAAAACCTCAAAAACAACTAAAATTACCTAAAATGCGCGATAGCATAATAAAGCGGCTGTTTATAAAATTCCTGGGACGTTGCATTAACAATGATCGGAGCATCGTAGGAAGAATTTGCCCAGCTCGGCCCTCCATTCACATCCAATACCATGTTGAAGTCGATCCAACCGTTTACCCATTGTGAAATATTCTAAAAATTAAGCCCATTAAATTTAAAACCTTGAGTGCCCCAGAATCCCTGCTACCCACCTCAATCATGCTCATCATATACCGATCCGCCCGGTTCCACCATCCCATTTTCACGCCCGGATAGTAGTCGGTCCAGCCGGTGGCTGCCTAAAATTTTCTAGATGGCTTTTTTATGGAATTTCGGTATCGGGTTACCCTTTCTTACCTCTGTATACAAAAGAATTTATCTCTATGCTGGGTATGAACCACCCAGGTGTCAATAGGAGCGCTGTAGTCGTCGCCGTATTGCTAAAAATTGCTTATTTTGCTGTTCGATTTTGTAGATCATGCCTGGACAGCAAATCCGCTAGTGTACATGTTGACCATACCATCGCTTAGTATCTGAAAAACTAGTTAAAGCGCACGTTCAGGGAGGGGCCGTGTACTCGTCCCAACGTGTACACCCTATGGACGTAGGGACCGCGCGCACTGCCTGCCCGTGGCGTGGCAGGCAATTTCCCTCCTTTGCGGCGTGGGGCGCCCCTAGGCCCCTCGCCAGGTTGCACCTGTGGCTGACTGGTATGCGACCGCGTCTCCCGATCGGGAGGCCCGGGTTCGACCCCCGGCCGCGGCGAAATTCTTTGCTTTCTTGCCCAAAAACGTCCCTAAACGTGCCCTTTAAACAACACGAAAAATTTCATAGAAAAAATCTGAAAACCGCCCGAAGTAATAAATTAAGTTTAGCCGAGTGATGCGCTCCAGACCACAAACGTAACTTACCGAATTTCCCCATTCCTGCAAAAGTTCCCGACCATCATCGACGATCATTAATTTGGTATTTTTGGCCGCCGCAGAGCGTTGCATCGCGATCCCCAGGTAGGAGAGAATGAAATCTCTGAAAACCAGGGTAAACCTGAGCTTCTCAGTAACTTTCGATACCTCTGCTCTGTCGCATTCATCTGAAGAGTTTGCGTCGGGAAAAGTTTCACCGATCCGGTTTCGTACGGCCTTGCTCCGATCGTCATCCCCCAGATTGGGACGCCCTGGGCGTGGTAGTGTTCTACCCATCTAAAAACGAAATGAAAGGCGATTTGACCTATTTTTGTTATTCAAAACGCTATTATAAAGCAACTTTAAACGGCCATGTATTTTTCAGAAACCTACTTGATCAAATAATCCGAATACGCTTTGAAATAAGGGCCCATATACGGGTTCTTCAACGGCGAGCCTCCCTAAGAAATCGAAGTTCTTGTTTACAAAATTGAATATTTTATTTAGTTTTTATTTAATAGATTTTTTTCGATACCTCAGCCTTCCCATTAACCTTCATCCAGGCTGGCGGGGCATACGGCGAAGCTACTACCGCCAAGGTTTGTCCATTAGTCGCAGCTCTGGCTTGCTTTATTAACGGAATCTAAAAATGTGGATCAGATAGCTTGTTAACTCTGTTAAAAGGTGTCCAAAGATGTTTTAAATATGGAGTCCTAATCGTTTACCCGCCTTGTACTTTATATCCTCCTCCGTCAACGCAAATTTGGTCATATTCAAATCCCCGTCATTGTCGTTATTTGAATAAACGCGGGCGGAGAACGCGTTGCTCCCAATAACGGTTTTTACCATGGTATACTGGCTTCCTATAAAAATAAGATCTATTTTTATATTTTTTGAGGCAAAAGTGAGATAATTAAGCTCACCTTTAACAGAAAAATAGGTATCGATCAGCTGTTGCCTGGCGTAAGCATTGAGACTCATCAAATTGATCCCAGTAGCATCGGTGAAAGTTCCGCCAAATCCGAAGATTTCCTGAGCAGTACTACGTGTAAAGATTTATGTATAATGTCAGTAAAAAAATTAAGTACAAAAATTTTGACCTGATCTTTTGAGTTGGGTCGAGCGTAATGACGTAGTCGTGCCCTAAAGAATATTACTCATTTCTTCTGAATTGGGGCAGAAAGAAGCAGTACAATTCCTTACTCTGAACGTCCTCCCATAAATATGCATCTCTCCAAAGGCGTTTTCCTGCCGAATTTGTTTTGTAGCCCATGGCTTCATGAGCTCCAAGCACACCAGGAGAGGCTATCTAGAAATTTCTATAAATATCATTTTTAAAAGCATACCTCATCGCAATAAGTTGCGTTGCAAACGCACACCATCGATGGCTCCTCATAATTCGGCTCGTAATACTTTGGGATGCATGGGGGCAGAAATTGAGCGTGGGCTTAAAGGCGCTGTTACAGCTGTGCATAGAGCAGTATATTCTCTTTTTTTATCGATGATCAAAAAATAGACTACCAATTTGGACTGCTGCCAAAAAAGAGATAAATAATAATAGCGCCATATCCGGAAGCTGCTCAAATTGATTTTGGAGAGCGCTTTGGCTTGAACCCTTTATCAGCTGCCGGGCGTTTGCCGAAATTTTTGGACGGGATTAGCTGATTCTTGATCTTTAAAAGTAGCGCAAAAGAAGATAATAAAGAAGAAAAATATTTCTTTACCGAGAAAGCTTTGAATAGTTGCTTTAAATTAGCTAAAAACACCTGAATTAACAACCTTTATGACGATATTTCTGAATTCACTAATTCAGCGAACACGCGTCTACATCGCAGATGTAATTTTCATAGACTGCCGTCGTCACCTCGATGAAATGGCTGTAGATGGGCATTTTCTGGAATTAAAGGTTCTGATTCGGTGGGGGGGGGGGAGACGCCGAGTCGAAATTTTCCGAACTTTTCAGTTAAGAAGAGTATAAAATGTTCTCGAAATGGAAAGGTGGCGAAAGTAAAGTAAAAAAAGTTCATACCACGCTCAACAAACACCCCCGCTAATAAACAAGCGCCCTCTTGGGCACATTGAATGAACTACCATGCATAGCATAGCAAGGTTCGGTACGTCGCGCTTTGGGTGAAAATGGATGTCGGGCATCGGCCCTCGGCGCCAACCGATATCTTCTTGTCCGATGGTTGCTTCCGCAATGAACTAGAATGGTCATCACAAACATCATTTACGGCGCTAACCTGACAATTTATCGGTGGATGGAAAAAGCGCCTCGTGCTGAGCACACCAAGCGTAATTCCGTACTTCGAGGTGTTCAGCCGATAACAGTGATACAAATTGCTCTAATGACTCGATATAACCGTTCTGGATTTTTGCCGTTACCAACTCTATTTCTGGAATCGTTTCGAATAAAGATAGGTTGCTATTCTTATGCCAGAAACTGTGGTCACATCGTCGTACTAACAAGATATCAGACCAGATGAAGACTATTGCCATCGAAAAGTAGAGGAAAGTCAACTTGCTCATAGGAAATTATATACTGAACCGTTTGGAGTCTCTGATGTTTATAGCGCCTGTCCGTTTTTCCGGGTATTTTCGATTGCGGCTAGCGATTGGTGAGGACTAAAAACACCGTGTTACTTAATATATCATTTAATGATATATTTTTATTCACAGAAAGAACTTTATGATAACCCGAAACCTATATCGTACAAATTTCCAGCGGGCAGCGGTAACTTTCCGGTATAGGGCTGTCTTTTGAGATGCTCCCCAAAAAGGTAGGCATTTTCTAAAAGGCGTTTGCAATTACAGTTCAGCAACAGCGTCTGACCATACAAAATTTCCAAGGCTCCAGGGTCTCGTTGAATTCAGAGGTAATCTGGAGCTGCTGAATTGGGTTCGTGCCCAAACGACCCCGTACGGCGGGGCCAAGTTGGACGATAGAATGGAACTGAAAGGTACTATAAAAAAGCGTAGCTTTACAACCAACGATAAAAAAACGTTTCGAGGCTTTTTCGAGATGGCTGACAGAAACCTATGTCTTACCTCGCAATTGCTAGGCGGGTATCGAAAGCGTCGACCGTTCAGGAAAGTCTGATAATACCTTATCTCGCCTTGCTTCCGCTGCGGCCGATAACAATAGTATTTTTGGCTCTAAAAACCGATAATCTCTGTAAAAAGCTTTTAAGCTACCATCTCAAAGTAAGGCAACCGATGGTAGCTTTCCCAATGCACACACTTGCGCACCAAATATAATTTTTCGCTGTAATTCGGGGTAGGTAGGTATAGGCAAATAAGCAAAATAGAGAATATTGATAGGTGTTTTGTCGAAAAGTCAGGGGCTACCATTGTTTATCGGATTTTTTTACGGCAAGAATTTATGGAAACGTAAACAAGGCGCGTTCGATTACAAAAAAGCTTCATCAGAGGAATTTCGAGAACATCGATAATTTTGTGTTACATCCTTTACGTGCGTTGAATGCGATCAAGGTAATTTTACAGTCCCATAAGCAATACGATTTATTCGAATTATGATGCAACAACTAAAGACGACACTTCTCGATCATGCAAAAATAATTCTCCTGCTCCGTGAAAATCGTCTTCGAAAAGCATCGTAGACGGGCATTTTCTAAACAATCGATGTAATTTAGGATCCCGGCCCCTGGTATACCATGCAAATTGTCGTTTGGTTGAGACGTTTATAATCGTCCTTGGCGGCATACATCCAGAACATTTCCCAATTCTCCGTACGCCCTAGTTTGTGCTTGTTGCCGACGTGTACTTCTGCTTCTACCTTTAGTTCAATAATTATTTTTAATTGTTCTTAGCTTACTCGACAATGGTTGGGTGGGTGCCGGAACCTTTTGTTGTTATAGTTTCCCTCGAACCACTTCCACGGGCCGGCGCCCCAGTACATTGTATGCATGTTGCAGCAGTGATAAAATTCCGTCTAAAAACCCAGAATTTCTTAACTTACTTATTAACTACCATCTCAACGGTTGGGCCGGCGTCCATGAATGTCGCGTTACTACGATAGTCCTCGTGATGACGGCACTCTCTCATGAGCAATAGCTCATTTTGAATCACCGGGTTTAGGAATGTTACAACAACAGCAAGCATTATTGAGATGCGATCCGGTGGCCGGTGGCTTGATTGATAGTTTAGTTGCGGGGAACCAGTTTTTGCAGATGTGATCAGGTTACAAAATGCACAATAATATTGCGGTATGGTTTCTAAACTGGAGTCTTGTAACACTTCTACAAGCTCGCCGCACACAGTTGTGTTCAATTTAGGTTAGTAAGGTTTTAGTAATTTAGGTATCTATCTAACGCTCTCAGCCAGTTAAAGGTACACTAAAGTCTCGTTGGTTTGGTTACCGGCCGGTAACCGTCCGCGGGATAGCAAACAGGGTTACGGTAGGTGCCCGCCGCGGAGCAAAACCGAACCCGCGCCGCTCGCCTGGGGCAAGCGCCAGAGACCAATAGGCCATGGCCATGGCTGACTGGTATCCATCCGCGCCTCCCGAGCGGGAGGCCCGGGTTCGACCCCCGGCCGCGGCAAAAATCTTTGCTTTTTTCCAAAAAAAACGTCCCTGCAACAGCCCTTTAAGGAGATCTGCTCTCCCCGACTTTCGTAAATCCAGAATATTTGATTTGGTACCAGCATATTTCATGTGTGGCGTGTTTTTTTCCGAAATGAACCTCGGATTCAACGCTATCCCCCATAAAATGTATAAAACAGTTTATCAAATGGTAGATGGGGTAAAGAACAGTAGATACAAATAAGTTCTTGGAGGCGCACGGGGTGGACTTCTCGATGGACTGGGCCGCAAATAAGTTCTGCGACCGCCAAGGTGCAAATTGTTGTATTTATGTGATTAATGAAGATTCTGATAAATAAAGATTTTATGGCCTTCCCTTCACGAATACTGAATACTTCGTGGCTGAATACTTGCCGCAAAAAACCGCCCAACAAGACGGGCTAAAAAGAAAGCTGTCATCAGTCCTGATTGGGGGTTTCTGCTTTTTTATGAATAACATGGGCCTCCCATTGACCGAAGCATCGCAACCAAACAACAAAACGCATCTACAGATTGTCCGTGACTGGTTATTCCTTGTTTATTATTTGTTTACCAGATGGTTACAGTCGCTTCGCGACTGCAACCATCTGGCCTCCGGGCTACCCTACATGTCCCACTCCACCACATCCTTTCCCACCTCCATCAATACCCCTGATAGCCGAAACCCCTTCAAAAACTACCTAAATACCTTCCTGATGGCTTCAGATACCCCCCATGGCTGAAATCCCTTCAAAAACTACATAAATACCTTCCTGATGGCTTCAGATACCCCCCATGGCTGAAATCCCCTTCAAAAACTACCTAAATACCTTCCTGATGGCTTCAGATACCCCCATGGCTGGAAATCCCCTTCAAAAACTACATAAATACTTTCCTAATGGTTTAAGATACCTCCCCTAGCCGAAATCCCTTAAAAAACAAAAACAACGACCGACCGGATGGAATGAGAGAAAAAAAGAAATGAAATCCCTCGTGAAAATTTTCATCCACGAAACGCGCGCGACCTGGCTCACTGTGTCCAAAATCACCCCAACCTCCGTCCCCACCCCTTTACTAAGGAAAAAACTTTCAAAGTTAATTTTAATAATTTAAACAAAAACTTTTTCATAATTTTTTTATCAGTTTGGGGGTTTCTGATGGCGCTCTATCCGAATCCGAAGAGAGCTAAGCTCTAGCTCCTTTCCCCTTCGAGTTGAATTCGGCTTCAGAAAGACGGAGACCACAACAAAATTATTATAGTTGATTCCTTGTTTATTGCTCTACCAACTTTAATCATGCCTCAAAAAATTTTTGGCAGCCTGCTGTTGTTTCAAATTTTGGATGCTGATTGGTTGGAGGTTTATTTACTCGGCCAAAGCTTCGTTAAGGCAAAGGCATTGGGAGGTTTGTGCCAAGTTATTAATTGCATGCTGGACATTTGTTCAGTTGCCCAGTTGCCTCGCACTGCGGGTCAGCCAGATTCTTAACATCGTTCCCGCTCTTTAATCTTATGGAAGCGCCCACCATCAATACTCTCACAATCCCACAAGCCATTGCTTTGGTCTGTGCGCCACACGCTTTTCCGTAGATGCCCGAGTTGCAATCCATAAGGGTGTTCATCGCCCTGGAATCTGAGGTTGAGCCGAGTATTTACCGACTAGTTCGACAGAAAAACTTGACCAAAGCGCCCATTAGTAAGCATCAAGCCGGGTAAAACTTACTTGCAAAGCCCAAATTTGGCATTTTTGTAGTAATCGGCGCTGCACTGTTGGAGCTGGGCCTGATACGTGCCGAACACAGCGCGATAGCAGTCAAAATTGTTTTAGAGGGCTGAAAGAACCCGTGCTTGCCATGGACCTGGCTGGAGTACCGTCGATTCCTGTGGTGCACTCGAATTCCATGGCACCCAGGTCGTTCCGATAAGTGGCTGCGTCTTCCGCGCTCAGCCCCATTGCCACATAGCAATCGATCGAAAGCGGGATATATTGCCGTAGGCAGTCCGACAACGTCCAAGTGTTGCTAAACGTTGGATGGTATACAGGGTGTCCCATAAAAAAAACACCCCTCCCGCATTTCGCCATATTACATCCGATTGGTCCCAAAATTGGACCAGAGGTGTATCAGACCCTAAATAACCACAATCCTGAGTTATGGCCCGCCCGCTACAGTAATTTTCGAGATACAACAAAAATAAACTTTATTATCCGTTTTTCTTAAGGTTTACATCGGAACCGACCATTCGAATATGAAGTGAAAATGAAGCGGCAAGCGTTTTTTTTGCCCTTAGAAATTTTTGCCTGATAAAAATTCATCAAATAATCGTTGATTTCAACAATTTTTGTAGGCCAAAGACACACCCGATATTAAGCGAAATTAGGGATTCGCAGCCGGAAGTCGATGCAAATCGAGGCAAAGTCCAAAAATATAGCCGAAAAAACTGTTAAGAATAGCGTAAAAAATAGTATTTTGGCGATATATCGAAAACCACTGTAGCGATCGGGCTATAACTCAGGATTGTGGTTATTTATGGTCCGATACACCCCTGTGCAAAGTATGGGACCGATTGGATGTAAGGCCGCGAAATGCCGGAGGGGTGCTTTTTTTGGGACACCCTGTATATGTTGTTCTGCCATGGCAATTCAACCTTTGTGAAGCACCTAAGCATACCTGCACACAGGAAAAAGCGCATTACGCCCATCCTTCTTGTACATTTGTTCCCTAGAGGTTGCCCAGCTTGCTGCGCTTGGTAAGGTTTTGCCGGCTACTGTAAGAGATCAGGATAAGGTTCGGTTTCCGATGAATAAAACGTAAACTTGCAAGGCGGTGCAGGCAACTCACAAAGCCCGTAGAACCTCAAGTATGGAGCGTAGCAGCTAGCCATGCTCTGCAATACGGATGCCGGGCAGTCTGCTCTCACGCCCATAACAAAAATAACTATCCCAATGGATATCCTATGAAGGAAATCACATTACCGATCAACAACTGCAATTTCATGGCGGGCACACGGTTAACTCAACTTCGAGCGGCGAACTGGCCAAATGTTTATATCTGAGAATCTAAACGGTTTATCTCACTTCTCCCAACGAGACGCACAGACGGGGTCAAGAAGTACGTGGAGACACCGATAACACCCAAAAATATAGTTTTACCCCAGCGCACAACGCACAAAACCTTGAGGCCTTGGGCGCGGGAATGCGACGCTTGCATGAGGAACATGACTTTCCTATTCTGATCGAAAATGCCTGATCGAAAATCTCCTGATCGAAAAATCGCCTGATCGAAAATCGCCTGATCGAAAAATCGCCTGATCGAAAATACGCTTGATCGCAAATCTCAAAAATCGCCTGATCGAAAATAACTCAAAAAATTTAGGGCTTTTCTAGGCTTCTAACATGTGTTAAACTACTTTTTGAGTTATTATCGATTAGATAGTTTTCGATTCGACGATTTTCGATCATGCAACCTTTCGATCAGGCGACTTGGGAATCGGCCCTTGATCCGCCCCGCCTCCTTTGATTTGCGGCTATGTACCAAATCCTGCCTCATCCGGGTCCATCAAATTAACGTTCACCTTATCAAACTCTAACGTTTATTCAGGCAATGCTCGGCCCGGGGCCGGATCAAATTGGATCACAATTTCGAGGAAAATACATAGAATGACGCGCAGGTCATTTAGAATTAGGGGTTACAGCATTTTAGAGGAGAAATGACAAGAATCAATAAATCACAGAAAGATTTTGGATTCAAGTGGGGTGGGGCACGAGAAATTGACAATTTGAAAATGGGAGAAATGAGAATCGCTTCTTTAGACTTGGTATTGACGTTGCCCGCAGAGGTGTTATTATCGAGTTACGATATTCGATGTTAGTTATTACGAGTTATTATCGATTAGATAATTTTCGATTAGACGATTTTCGATCAGGCGATTTTTCGATCAGGCGACTTGGGAATCGGCCCTTGATCCGCCCCCGCCTCCTTTGATTTCCGGCGATTTACCAAATCCTGCCTCATCCGGGTCCTTAAAATTAACGTTCACCTTATCAAACTCCCCACGCATACTTCTTGCCCATTTACATTCCCTTCTTCACGAGGTAGGTAAGATAAGCCCTAGCCCGCACCAAATAAAAAGCCCGCCGCAAGGTTCTAGTCCTTAGACCCCGATTACTAATCGTGAAGCTGATTTTGCTGACGGGTAAGGAAATTTTTCTGTGCTGGGTATACGTAATACAGCGCTGTTCGCCGCCGGCATTGCGGCGGACTGCCCGGCTAGCCTTCTGCAGGTTATGTCAACCTGCTACACGCCCTTCCTAAGGTTCTACGGTGTCCGTGAGTTTATTACGAGCCGCTTCGAATTAGTTTTATCCGCCCGAAAAGTACAAAACGGTTCTGGGCTGTTAGCGGGGACATTTTTAGCAGGGGGGAACCGCTTTCTATTTTTTCATTCACTGTTGATGACATATTATGTATTTTTATAGTGTTTTTGGTAGTTTTTGATTTCTAGAAAAGCACAAACAATATTTTAAAACTCTTGAAAATTCCAAAATCTTGGCCTTTACCAAAAAGTAAAACAATACCTTTTTATATAGTTTTTGTATCTTACAAGTATGCAAAATGCCATTCAAATGGTTTATATTTTGCTATAGGGCCGTAGAGAATCACAGGGGAAAATTTAGCTCCCCCGCTAAAAGTCCGGAACTAAGAGAACTAATTACGGTACCAGAAGGGCTCGCTCTTGGATTATTAAATGTTTTAGCCGCTCCGGGAAAAACGCTGCCGGCTCCGATCAGCTGGGCTGGACCGAGGCAGAGCATGTATGCAAAGATGGACGAAACGCTCTCTTCCCCCGTCTGCAGGTCAATTTCAGGCCCTTCCGGCTTCATGGCACGAGATCGTCAGGTTTACAAATGAAAACCCCAATTTTTGGGCGCGAGCCTGAACTTTTTTTTATAAATAGCGGATGCGTTTTAAATTGATTTTATCTATTCTTTAACATAAAACTTTACAAATTATAATTAATAATTTTAGGTCCAAAAAAGTTATTTTTCTCGGCCCAAAATGATCAAATATTCGACTTTTACAAACATTTTTTAACTCGTTAAATTTTTTTTATACTTTTAATTGGGTCAAAACTTTCTAAAAGCTATGCACAAACACTATATGGGGTTACTAGGCCAACCGGGACCGCCGGGAAAAAAGGGTTCCCCCCGCGAATCCAAAAGTTGCCAAATAAAAGTCTTACAATTTTGCTAAATTTTTGCGAAGAACAATCTAGGGAAAAAGTCTGAAATTTCGATAGAATGAAAAGTAAGCCTTCAGCACCACTTGGGCATTGGCCGACTGCTTGCGGAAGTACCTCCCCGTCTCTCGTGATTGCTACGTAGCGCTGGGCTTGAGCGTCAATGACGCGGCAACCTATCAAACAGACCTCGCCGCCATGGAATTCCAGTGCACCACGGGAATTGATGGTGACCACGAAAACTGCTATCCTATCCTCGATATCTTTCAGCCCTCTATACCAATTTCGATTGCTATCAGGCCGCCATCGTCCAGCACGTCAACGAAATTGAGCAGTGCATCACGGATTACGGGAAGAATGTTAAGGTTGACGTTTGCAAGTGAGTTTTAGTTTGATAAGATTGAAGTTGACCTCTGAAAGCGCATAGTTTCCTCTTGCAAGCATTCTTTTTCTGAGCGACTGTCTGGCCCGGCTCAGTCGCTACAATTTTCAACTCAGGGCGATGAACACGCTGATGGACTGCAAGGCCAACATCTATGGCAAGGCCTGCGGCGATCAGGTGAAGGCATTGACGTGCGGCATTGCCAGAGCCTCCCCTGGTGAGTCGATGCCGAAAACTGCAACCGATCTTTAGGACCCGCTTGATCCCACTTGTAACGCCAACGGCAAGCTCAACCAGTGCCCGGCGCCCAACTAAGTGGACTTGCGCAGCAAACTAATAAATCGGTTTGGCAGTCAAAGACTAAGACAAAGACATATAGGAATCAGGGGTATGTATGATACATACGTCATTAGGTGCGCAATGGATGACACGACTGCAAACCTGTTCAATTACCAGATGGTTACAGTCGCTTCGCGACTGCAACCATCTGGCCTTCGGGCTACCCTACATGTCCCACTCCACCACATCCTTTCCCACCTCCATCAAGACCCCCGATAGCCGAAATGCCGTTCAAAAACTACCTAAATACCTTCCCGATGGCTTCAGATACCCCCATGGCTGAAATCCCTTCAAAAACTACATAAATACCTTCCTGATGGCTTCAGATACCCCCCATGGCTGAAATCCCCTTCAAAAACGACATAAATACCTTCCTGATGGCTTCAGATACCCCCCATGGCTGAAATCCCCTTCAAAAACTACCTAAATACCTTCCTGATGGCTTCAGATACCCCCCATGGCTGAAATCCCCTTCAAAAACTACCTAAATACCTTCCTGATGGCTTCAGATACCCCCCATGGCTGAAATCCCCTTCAAAAACTACATAAATACCTTCCTGATGGCTTCAGATACCCCCCATGGCTGAAATCCCTTTCAAAAACTACATAAATACCTTCCTGATGGCTTCAGATACCCCCCATGGCTGAAATCCCCTTCAAAAACTACCTAAATACCTTCCTGATGGCTTCAGATACCCCCCATGGCTGAAATCCCCTTCAAAAACTACCTAAATACCTTCCTGATGGTTTAAGGTGCCTCCCCTAGCCGAAATTTGAAGAAAAAACAAAAATAACGACCGACCGGATGGAATGAGAGAAAAAAAAGAAAAAAAAAAGAAGACTGAGCCGGGCCAGACAGTCGCTCAGAAAAAGAATGCTTGCAAGAGGAAACTATGCGCTTTCAGAGGTCAACTTCAATCTTATCAAACTAAAACTCACTTGCAAACGTCAACCTTAACATTCTTCCCGTAATCCGTGATGCACTGCTCAATTTCGTTGACGTGCTGGACGATGGCGGCCTGATAGCAATCGAAATTGGTATAGAGGGCTGAAAGATATCGAGGATAGGATAGCAGTTTTCGTGGTCACCATCAATTCCCGTGGTGCACTGGAATTCCATGGCGGCGAGGTCTGTTTGATAGGTTGCCGCGTCATTGACGCTCAAGCCCAGCGCTACGTAGCAATCACGAGAGACGGGGAGGTACTTCCGCAAGCAGTCGGCCAATGCCCAAGTGGTGCTGAAGGCTTACTTTTCATTCTATCGAAATTTCAGACTTTTTCCCCTAGATTGTTCTTCGCAAAAATTTAGCAAAATTGTAAGACTTTTATTTGGCAACTTTTGGATTCGCGGGGGGAACCCTTTTTTCCCGGCGGTCCCGGTTGGCCTAGTAACCCCATATAGTGTTTGTGCATAGCTTTTAGAAAGTTTTGACCCAATTAAAAGTATAAAAAAATTTAACGAGTTAAAAATGTTTGTAAAAGTCGAATATTTGATCATTTTGGGCCGAGAGAAAATAACTTTTTTGGACCTAAAATTATTAATTATAATTTGTAAAGTTTTATGTTAAAGAATAGATAAAATCAATTTAAAACGCATCCGCTATTTATAAAAAAAGTTCAGGCTCGCGCCCAAAATTGGGGTTTTCATTTGTAAACCTGACGATCTCGTGCCATGAAGCCGGAAGGGCCTGAAATTGACCTGCAGACGGGGAAGAGAGCGTTTCGTCCATCTTTTGCATACATGCTCTGCCTCGGTCCAGCCCAGCTGATCGGAGCCGGCAGCGTTTTTCCCGGAGCGGCTAAAACATTTAATAATCCAAGAGCGAGCCCTTCTGGTACCGTAATTAGTTCTCTTAGTTCCGGACTTTTAGCGGGGAGCTAAATTTTCCCCCTGTGATTCTCTACGGCCCTATAGCAAAATATAAACCATTTGAATGGCATTTTGCATACTTGTAAGATACAAAAACTATATAAAAGGTATTGTTTTACTTTTTGGTAAAAGGCCAAGATTTTGGAATTTTCAAGAGTTTTAAAATATTGTTTGTGCTTTTCTAGAAATCAAAAACTACCAAAAACACTATAAAAATACATAATATGTCATCAACAGTGAATGAAAAAATAGAAAGCGGTTCCCCCCTGCTAAAAATGTCCCCGCTAACAGCCCAGAACCGTTTTGTACTTTTCGGGCGGATAAAACTAATTCGAAGCGGCTCGTAATAAACTCACGGACACCGTAGAACCTTAGGAAGGGCGTGTAGCAGGTTGACATAACCTGCAGAAGGCTAGCCGGGCAGTCCGCCGCAATGCCGGCGGCGAACAGCGCTGTATTACGTATACCCAGCACAGAAAAATTTCCTTACCCGTCAGCAAAATCAGCTTCACGATTAGTAATCGGGGTCTAAGGACTAGAACCTTGCGGCGGGCTTTTTATTTGGTGCGGGCTAGGGCTTATCTTACCTACCTCGTGAAGAAGGGAATGTAAATGGGCAAGAAGTATGCGTGGGGGAGTTTGATAAGGTGAACGTTAATTTTAAGGACCCGGATGAGGCAGGATTTGGTAAATCGCCGGAAATCAAAGGAGGCGGGGGCGGATCAAGGGCCGATTCCCAAGTCGCCTGATCGAAAAATCGCCTGATCGAAAATCGTCTAATCGAAAATTATCTAATCGATAATAACTCGTAATAACTAACATCGAATATCGTAACTCGATAATAACACCTCTGCGGGCAACGTCAATACCAAGTCTAAAGAAGCGATTCTCATTTCTCCCATTTTCAAATTGTCAATTTCTCGTGCCCCACCCCACTTGAATCCAAAATCTTTCTGTGATTTATTGATTCTTGTCATTTCTCCTCTAAAATGCTGTAACCCCTAATTCTAAATGACCTGCGCGTCATTCTATGTATTTTCCTCGAAATTGTGATCCAATTTGATCCGGCCCCCGGGCCGAGCATTGCCTGAATAAACGTTAGAGTTTGATAAGGTGAACGTTAATTTGATGGACCCGGATGAGGCAGGATTTGGTACATAGCCGCAAATCAAAGGAGGCGGGGGCGGATCAAGGGCCGATTCCCAAGTCGCCTGATCGAAAGGTTGCATGATCGAAAATCGTCGAATCGAAAACTATCTAATCGATAATAACTCAAAAAGTAGTTTAACACATGTTAGAAGCCTAGAAAAGCCCTAAATTTTTTGAGTTATTTTCGATCAGGCGATTTTTGAGATTTGCGATCAAGCGTATTTTCGATCAGGCGATTTTTCGATCAGGCGATTTTCGATCAGGCGATTTTTCGATCAGGAGATTTTCGATCAGGCATTTTCGATCAGAATAGGAAAGTCATGTTCCTCATGCAAGCGTCGCATTCCCGCGCCCAAGGCCTCAAGGTTTTGTGCGTTGTGCGCTGGGGTAAAACTATATTTTTGGGTGTTATCGGTGTCTCCACGTACTTCTTGACCCCGTCTGTGCGTCTCGTTGGGAGAAGTGAGATAAACCGTTTAGATTCTCAGATATAAACATTTGGCCAGTTCGCCGCTCGAAGTTGAGTTAACCGTGTGCCCGCCATGAAATTGCAGTTGTTGATCGGTAATGTGATTTCCTTCATAGGATATCCATTGGGATAGTTATTTTTGTTATGGGCGTGAGAGCAGACTGCCCGGCATCCGTATTGCAGAGCATGGCTAGCTGCTACGCTCCATACTTGAGGTTCTACGGGCTTTGTGAGTTGCCTGCACCGCCTTGCAAGTTTACGTTTTATTCATCGGAAACCGAACCTTATCCTGATCTCTTACAGTAGCCGGCAAAACCTTACCAAGCGCAGCAAGCTGGGCAACCTCTAGGGAACAAATGTACAAGAAGGATGGGCGTAATGCGCTTTTTCCTGTGTGCAGGTATGCTTAGGTGCTTCACAAAGGTTGAATTGCCATGGCAGAACAACATATACAGGGTGTCCCAAAAAAGCACCCCTCCGGCATTTCGCGGCCTTACATCCAATCGGTCCCATACTTTGCACAGGGGTGTATCGGACCATAAATAACCACAATCCTGAGTTATAGCCCGATCGCTACAGTGGTTTTCGATATATCGCCAAAATACTATTTTTTTACGCTATTCTTAACAGTTTTTCGGCTATATTTTTGGACTTTGCCTCGATTTGCATCGACTTCCGGCTGCGAATCCCTAATTTCGCTTAATATCGGGTGTGTCTTTGGCCTACAAAAATTGTTGAAATCAACGATTATTTGATGAATTTTTATCAGGCAAAAATTTCTAAGGGCAAAAAAAACGCTTGCCGCTTCATTTTCACTTCATATTCGAATGGTCGGTTCCGATGTAAACCTTAAGAAAAACGGATAATAAAGTTTATTTTTGTTGTATCTCGAAAATTACTGTAGCGGGCGGGCCATAACTCAGGATTGTGGTTATTTAGGGTCTGATACACCTCTGGTCCAATTTTGGGACCAATCGGATGTAATATGGCGAAATGCGGGAGGGGTGTTTTTTTTATGGGACACCCTGTATACCATCCAACGTTTAGCAACACTTGGACGTTGTCGGACTGCCTACGGCAATATATCCCGCTTTCGATCGATTGCTATGTGGCAATGGGGCTGAGCGCGGAAGACGCAGCCACTTATCGGAACGACCTGGGTGCCATGGAATTCGAGTGCACCACAGGAATCGACGGTACTCCAGCCAGGTCCATGGCAAGCACGGGTTCTTTCAGCCCTCTAAAACAATTTTGACTGCTATCGCGCTGTGTTCGGCACGTATCAGGCCCAGCTCCAACAGTGCAGCGCCGATTACTACAAAAATGCCAAATTTGGGCTTTGCAAGTAAGTTTTACCCGGCTTGATGCTTACTAATGGGCGCTTTGGTCAAGTTTTTCTGTCGAACTAGTCGGTAAATACTCGGCTCAACCTCAGATTCCAGGGCGATGAACACCCTTATGGATTGCAACTCGGGCATCTACGGA